TTCCCCCCCCCCCCCCCCCCCCCCCCCCCCCCTCCCCGCCAGGCGTTTCTCCCTTTCTGAGACTTAAGTTAAAACTTTATTTCACGCCTTTCTAGAACCTTCACAAGCACTGGTAAGGTCGGCTACCCCTCCTCCTCCTGAAAGTGGTGGGAAATGCGGCCCTGCGTAAGCCGGGCAATCACAGAAACCACAGAAACGTGTGTCTGCTCCGAAGGTATACAGTTCCAGTCTGGATCAGGCCGAGTTTCTGAGTTCATATGACAAGCAGTCCAAACTGACTTTCCTCGCCCTTCACTTTTCTTCTGAACAGTCCAGTATCGTGAAGTCAATACACAAGCATTAGCTAAGCCAACAGCACAAGGCTCTAGAGCCATTTATTGGTTCTTGCGAAAGTCTTGAGACATTCTTTCATAACCAGTCGTGTCGCCTGGCTAACGCCGGCCTTTCCTCCGTATGATAGAGTTGTGATAATCGGGAAACGGCCTGCCCCTTCTTGGGAACGGGTGATACTGTTCGGAACACGAATTTTGGCTGAGAACTGACAGGGCGTTCGAGTGGTATTCAGTGTGCGCCGATGCTGTCGTGCCGTCGGGGCCGCTTCGCCGAGAGCCCTTGCATAGGTAGATCGCTCGAGCTGGCGGTCGGGACGGCGTGTGATGATCAGAGTCTTATGCGCGCTCGCAAGCTCGACACTCTCTGTCACGCGAGCATGTTAGAACTCGCGGCTCAGGTGTCCACGCCAGGTGTCTCGGGTTGGTACTACCTCTGCAGAACGCTGGTGGTTGCTCGCCCTGTGCCGAGTTCCCTCGAGGCGCTGGAGGCATGGTCCTACCCGGGCCTGCGATGGGCTATCCCAGCGCTAAGGATGCCTTGCGATATATGGATGTTACCGCACTTCACCTACTAGGCATATCCTATGGATTACACTGTTTCATGAGAAGCTACATATAAAGAAAATATATGGTGGTTACATTAAATATGTTGGCTGCTATATGAGGAATGCTATGAAAAGAAATATGGAAAAATACGTATGTACGTGAGGACCACATTAAACCTACGGATAGGATACGATCCTGCTAGGTCTCAATCCGGGTCATCCAAATCCTCTCAGCCTCCTTCTGGTACTGCTGTAGTCCTTCCATGCTTGCGGACCATTCCTCTGGATATTCCTTGCCTGCTGTACTTGGCAGCCGTGGCATCACTGGTAGATGACAATATGGTGGTGCTGTGGGAATCTCTGGAGCTGCGTCGATGGCGTTGACGTTGAATGCGCACCATGAAATGGAGATGAGCAGGCTGCTGCGACGACGACGGCGACAAGATTGGATGATATAATGGTGGCGCGTTGGAGAGAGCAGCCAGAGTCCGTGGCTAAGCATAGCCACGTGGCAAATTCTCGCACTCTGCAGCACACTTTCCGGCGAGACCGAGGTGCGCGCCATGCCAGCTGGCCTATAACTCGTCCGAGCGGCACGACAGATGCTCATTCCTATGACTACGAGTCCCGATCTGTTTCTGTTCAACTTGTAAATAATAACCAATCAAAGGCTCAACCAGGCCAAAACAAATATTTTCGCTTCTGCCACGCCCCTTGTGGGCGGAGTCTAGTGCCGCCACCTATCACCAGTGTTCTCACCTTGCCTTCTGTACTGATGTTTTTAAGGCTTGCCATTAATTTTTCGAGCAACGCCTTAACAACGCTCTCTACAATCATAATCAGAGAGCATTAGTTCCCACTGAAAGTATTCGAAGTGTAGTGGAGTAGGTCACATAAAGCAAAAAGGAACAAAAATAAACGAACGCATTTCTCAGGTTCCAATTACAACAACAATAACAACATAACAATAACAATAGCAGTTGACTAAGACTAGATGATTTTGGTCATGCGCCAATTTTAAAAGACGAAGGCTTCTTAAGTTAAAAAGTGGCAAATACGAGTCAATTCCTTATCTAGGTGAAAGATATGTCTGTACTTTAAAGTTAGCGCTTCTCTATAGTTTGCAAATTGTATGCCTGCGCTCAAGCAGAAAAGCTGCTTCATCATACAAAATCTGATTTGCGACATGTTCTTACAGAAGGCATACGATTTCTTGCCTTTTCAAGTAAGTTTTCTGGTAATCATAAGAGAAGTTACTCATTGATCGAAAGTAGTGGCAAATGGCTCACAACCACTCACGTACTGTCACAGGTTTGTATCCCGGGTCCACACAGAATACTAATACTTGAGCTTTTGAAGATGATCACGTGTTTGAATCCCGACTCGACTTTCGGCCTAGGCCAATCGGCTAATTGTTAATAAATTCGCATGAGATGATCAAAGCACTGAATTGTTCATCGCCGCTAGTCATTGTATAAGCAACAAACGGACACAAACGGGCGTTCAATACGCCACTACGCTTTCAAAAGGAAATCGAATGCGGGGCGCATCCCTATACAAGGCATCGCCTCTACTCTTCACTTACCATATATACGCGTTTTTCAATTTTAAGAATTCGTTTCGCTTTTACGATGCTCAAAAATGTTGAACATGTTAAACATTTACGGACAGATTCTGTGAAAATTTCTTGAGCATTGCTGTACTCACAAGACCATTGAATATTTGTGTCATTTCTAGTCTTATTTATAAGTGAACATAACGGATGCATTTGGATGTAAGCTGTGAGAACATATACGAATACGGCACCATTATAAGGTAGACTCTTGTTGAGGTATGGATAAACTCCTTCTGTGATTACTGCAGAAGCGCTTAAGATGGTGGGATCACCTGTAATCAGTTAGAGTTACAGTGGAACACAGGACTTGAAATGCTCCTCAAAAATATGTTAGATAGAAGCGATGCAGATTCAAACTAGGAACGTGGGTGTAACCTCAAATAATGAAACTTGCATGGATGGCTAGTTTTTGATAGAAGATGATTATCTTGTTCTGCAAAATGGTTCGCTTCTTTGGAAACAGTTCTACACTGGTTTGCAAAACTTAGGGACGAAAGCAACTTTCGATCACTGAACCTCTGCCAGACGACAGAGCTCGATGAAATTCATACCGTACCAATAGAGGATCATTACGGTATTGCACAGAAAGTAACTGGCAGAAAATCGAAATAGGACTAGCAAATAAGGCATTTTTATTGAAAGGTATCGATTACACATAGTTCCTCACAACTTATCTTAGTACTTCAAAAAAAAAGCGACGCGGTTCCTAATAGGGTATGTGATCACCACGGACAGCAGTAAATGCTCTGCAATGCGATCCCATACTTTCTACGAGGTTGGAAATGAATTATTGTGGTAGGGCATTCCACTCTTCTATCAGCGCAACTGTCAATTACTGGATGGTCAGTGGTGCGTTTGGACGTGCTGTAATGCCTCTATCCAGTGCATCCTACACGTGCTCGATGGGATTCAGATCGGGGGCACGGACAGGCACTCCATTCGCTGGATAACCTCTTGTGTAAAGAGCTCTTCCACCTGAGATGTTCGATGCGGTCGCGCATTGTTATCCATGAAAATGAATTCAGGGTTCACTGCAGCCCTGAAAGTATAGACATTAGGGAGGGGTTCCTTTTCACAGCAACGCCGACTGTTAAGGGTGCCACGCTCGAAAATCTGGAGGTCTGTACGGTTACGAAGCATAATGCCTCCACATACCATAACACCTCGACCACCAGAACGATCAAGTTCCACAACGTTTCTGAGAGAAGTGCGTGTCCCCAGCTCTGGCCATGAGGGTGCGTCCAGAATTACTGCTCAGACTGGATCTGCTCTCATTCGAAAAAAGCAAACGGCCTCATTTCTCATTGGCCCGTTCGCTATGCTCCTGGCACCACCCTAAACCGTCTCGCCGATTCGCGGGGGTCAAAGGAACCCTACGTAGTAGTCGTCGGGCGGAGAGACCACCACCGTGCAGTCGTCGTGCCACTGTAGTGCATGGGATGGCTTGCTTTGAAATCCTGTTAAATGACATTGCAATCGCAGAGGCTGACTGACGTGGATCTCTTCATGTCTACTACACAATGTAGCGGTCTTACCTTAGAGTAGTTGTTCTTGGTCGACCACCTCCCCTCCTTCGTGCAGCAGTATAAGAGGTTCGGAGTGCTCCCCGTGCACGTGAAACAACGCTGTGAGCGATATCAGGTTCCTGAGCTGCATTCGTCTTTTTTCGACCTTTTTCGAGTTTCCCGATGATCCTTCCTCGTGCCGGGTTATCCAGACGATGTCAGTGGGATATGATGTATAGAAGGATAACACCACAGTACTTGGTAGCAACTAGCTGATTGACAAAAAAAATTTTTTCGTACCTAACAGCTCCCTCGATTTGTGCGGGTAGCCGTATTTCTCGCTTTATTTGAACTATTCCTCCACCAAGGGATGTCCAACTCCCTGTGCATAACGGTCATAGGTCTGGCGATATAATCCCAAACTTTCATTTATTTCCACCCAGTCCTCAATGTTTTATGTTACATTATCCATCTCGTCCCTAAGTTTTGCGCACCAGTGTATTAAGGAATGTTCCGCAAAGTGATCCGCTTTCTTGCAAACAAATGTATGTAGGAACTGTGCCCTTTTAACTAAAACTGCAAATTTATAAGGATGTTTGATTGATGACTCACACCAAAGCAAGTCTAATCAGTTCCCCATCTCGGTCCTGTCACACGAGCTAGGTAGCTAATTAGGTGGCCGAGCGAATGAGAAGGGTAGAAGAGGGCTGCTGTAGGTGTCTGTTCGAAGTGATATAGTGATTCAAATTTCATGTCGCTGTAGCTTTTTAAGAGAAAGGCTTCAGCTCTGTGAGTTCTCAAAAGTTTACTTCATATAAAAAACTAAAATATAATAATCTGAAATAGTCCACTGCGCTCTGGGGTGGGATTGGAAGCCTATATAAAGTTCGATGTTCCAGGCAAAAACTATATTTACTGCTGGAAATGGTTCGCAAATGGATAAACATGAAGACCTTTGATGAAGGGCGTAACTTCTTCCTGAACAAGTGTTTGAAAAGCGAAAGCGTATGCTCTTTGTAGGAACAGGCTTTGTATCGGTTTTGAGTAGTTTTTGTTCCTGAATTAAGGCACAAAATCCGAAAAGGGAAGTGCTACTCCTGATGTATAGGCAAATCATTCAATTGAAACAGGAATTTACTCGTATCTGCTGTTCCTCAATTTAAAAACCGCTTCACTCTAAGTTGGCGTTTGACCAGACTTCCCATTCTGAAAAATTGATACGGAGATGGTCCTTACATCCTGAGATTGCGACGGTCTACTTGTCGTGTGTTCGATTTAGCGAAGGTTCAGAACTGACCATTTTAAGATTTTTTGCTACAGGTTGTAACATAAGTTCGTAGAGTTTTTCACAAAGATTTCTCTGAACAAAAAGCAATANTTGTTATAATAAATTATTAAATAAGTTATTATAAAAATCAGCCAATGCACGAATTGTTTGGCGACCATCCTCCTTTAATAGTGCCTTCAGATGCTCTTGGACGAATTCTGCAGGTCGTCCGCTTCGAGGCGTGTCTTCAAGGTCAAAGTCGCCATTTTCAAGCTTTGTGAACCATTTTTGTGCAGTAGACACACCTATGTAAGACACCTTCCCCGTACACACTGCATATGTCCCAAGGTGTTTCGGCAAGAAAAGCATATGTCGAAAATGCTGATTTTTTCCTCTCAGATATTCCATTTCTGAGCCAGAAAAAAGACGAACATTCAAATCCCCCAAAAAAACATATAAGACAGTTTTGTAGAGGAGAAAGAGCTCTTTCTAATGAATGTATACACTTTACTGAAAAAAAAACAATTCGTTGTAAAAGAACTCTAACGCAAAACTCTACGAACTTATGTTACAACCCAATAGATCGGCTCAACTCGTCGAGCTCCACGAAGAGCTCGACGACTTGAGCCGATCTATGTAGCATTTTCTGTAGAAAAAGGAATTCCAATTCACTTATGAAAACTAGTTATGAGGGAAAATATAAAAAGCGTGGAGGACCCATGTTTTGTCCCTAGATCCTACCTGGGATAAGGGAGGCGAGTGGCTGACTGAGACAAGCGTCAAAGGTTGTCGGTCAGTGGTGCGGAATCCATGAACCAACAACTTTTTACGACTGTGTTTTTGAAGGTGTCGAGCGACGTTGCTCTGATCGTATTCAAAAAGCCAAATCAATTTCCTGCTCGTAACTCTCCTACTTTTTCTTCAACTCGCCGAGATACCGAACGTCATCGATAGCAACCGCTCAATCAGAGCGAAGATAGTCGTCGAGGGTCGCGTTTTGAGAGTGAAAGCGAGCGAATAAACGACTAACGATCGCATGCTGATAGGGTCCTTCGCGAATGCAATAAGGTAGTGCAGGCAGCCTAGTGAGCACCGGAACGGGCCCCGTTCTCAGAACGCGATAGCTCGAAGTCGATCTCACCGCAGTTGTAACATGGTTCACGTGAGAAACGTTCGGAGACCTTCCTGAGCACAACTGGTTGTAACTTCAAGGTTATTCCAGAATCAAAGACGCAAAGACGACAAAGGTCGTTATAGATAAACTACGATACACGTGCATTCTTATCTCGAGACTCTCGTTACAATTTATTCTGAAGTTTTTGTGTAAAACTTACTTCGACAAAAATTTTCCATCAAACTCTAGCAGCAAGAAAGCTTTTTGTTCAATTTTCACATGGAATTTGTTATATTAAGTAACGTTTTGATGCTTATAATTCTCGTTGTACAGTATCTCTAGCCCTTGTATTGTAGTACCCTAACCTGCAAACTGCTATGAAATTCTGTGAACCTAAAGTTAGAGCTTAAATATTGCAGTACTTCGAGTAGCCGTATCTTTTGGAGGCCCAACCTAACAATTCGCGGAACAGCAAATGCAGCCATGCTTATCCAACACTCTGAGAGGCTTTTTTGCGACGAGCATTCAGTCATGACTTTCTGAAATTACCCATACATCGGGGGCAATCACCGATATGAATATCGTGATAGAACGCACCGATCTCTGTAACCTAAACGGGTTATTTATGTAGTCCAGTATATTTTGTGTCGAGCAAACTCGACTTATCAAGTCAGTGATATCTAGTTCGCGTAAAAATTGTTTACGGTATCATATTTTAGTATGAGACGAATTTTATGGCGTTCATTCGAAATCCATATCCAGTCCGATTTCGTTCCTCTTCTGGAGCCGTGGTACTGTATTGCGTGACGACTTTGATGCCGACAACGATAGATGGTGTTTGCGAACGACATGACTGCTTGAAAGATTCATCTTCATCTTCTGCGGTTTCGTCACCCTCAGTTTTTTCCAGTAATGATACCCTGCAGCAGATGCAGTCATCAAATTCACTTCCACTGTGAGAATCATTCTTTTCTGCTTTGTATTTATATCTGTAGTGATGACCAGGCCATCAGATAGTTATCAGGGTGGATCCCTTCGATCACTTCATAATTTATTGGCACTTGTCATGTCATTGAATTGACAGCTTTAGCAGCTAGCTTGAGAAGTTGTTATTGCGTGTAGTTTATTTTCCATTGACATTGATTTCTGCCGCTCTTTTTAATCCTACTTATCGTTTTATTCCCAGCTTATGCTTTTTCCACTCTTACAGACCCTAGCGAGCGTCCTTACATACTCACACGCCACGTCGCCTTTTCCAGGGCGTTTTTCTCAAAGCACTACCGTGTTCCTATTCCAAGTGGTGCAAATACCTCGTGTTGACATTAATTTATTGAATGTACATACATTGTGAGTCTACGAATAATAGAGAAGGAAGGTTGGTCTCTTTGCTGGAACTTTTCCGTATTTTAGTTTCCGGGAGTCGTTGCAACTAGCCTAGCGCGTTTGGGCGCTTGGTCGGGTAAGTCACAGATCAGGAGCTTCGAACTATTTTCAGATCCTGAAGACGACGATTCAGTCGAAACGTTGACCAATAAAGCGGTTCAGCCATAACAAACCTGTACGGCAAAGCAGTATTTAAACATTATGTAAAATGCCCAGGTTTCAAGAAGACCGAACATGGAAGTTGTTACAGCTACTGGATTTCCTATCGCGATACGGTGAGGGCGACTACCGTCGTTATCACTTCTGTCCTAGTCATTATCGCTTTGCTGGCTCCGCACTCGTTCTTGATAATCCATGCTTCTTTTTTAGGATGTGGATCCGTTATAAAAACCACCGTGGTGCTTTGTATATTGTGATCAAGCATGTGCTGTTAGAACCAGTTCTGTTATGTGCGTCCGAACCTGATAATGATTCCACGGTCTTGCGTAAGAGGGTCTTGTCTCCGAACGGCTCCCATTTGGCGTGACATGTTGTGTAGTTCGTGATAGCCGTATTAGTAATATTTAATTATTAGTCTAACGATACAAACAATTCTCGTTGTCTAAGATAATATTGTTGAAAATAGATCATCCTCACAGTCGATGATCCGCTATCTTCTTCGTACTAACGGTGAAGCCTTCCTTGGCTTTTCCACAGGTGAAGTACGATAAGAAGCGACCGTAGATATTTGTTAATTAGGACTGCTAAGAGCTGATACGGGCTGATAATAAAACGTAAAATACTAGAACCACTAGCTTTGTAACGCCCTTTACATTAATAATGGAGCTTCAGCACTTCATTAAGTAGTATGGGCTGCGAAGGGATCATAGATGATTGGTGACAAGGATTGATTACAGTTATTAGAGACTGATAACATCAAACCGGCGAGAGCCAGTAGTTCGATGAAACCTTCCGTATTCACAGTAAAACCTCGGCTCTTTATTAAGTGATGTAGGTTATGACGGGATCGTAAGTGCTCAGCGACAAGAGCTGATAACAACTGATAGGAGCTGATAAGGAACCTCAAAGCGCACCAGCCACCTGCTAATCAAAATCCGAACGCTCTAGCTATTTACGATGTGGCTTTGACTATCTAGTATGTTTCATTTGACAAGATGGGATGTTAGAGTAGGGCGACAAAAGTGAGTGGTACATGCAGTGATAGGGGCCGATTGAAGGCAATTCATCTTCTCAAGAGTGTCTCTTCCGTTAAAGATCTTGGTTTTCATTATGATAATAAACTCTGTTTCTCCCAACATTTGGAAATGATATACAAGAAAGCTACGTATCGGACATACCAAATTTTCAAGGGTCTTACAGTGAGTGATGAAGATCTCCTTGTGAGGGCTTATAAAACGTATATCAGGCCGATTGCAGAGTGTGGATCAACAGTATTTTGCCCTTATAAGCAGAAAGAAATTCGGTTAATTGAAAAAATTCAAAATAATTTCACCCGTAAAATATTCATTAGATCTGGAGGGCACAAGTATTCAAGGCCACCTCGTGTGTTTGAGAGGAATAAAGAGTACAAATTGCACACGCTTTGTTCTCGGAGAAAATATTTTGATGTGTGTATGGTCTTTAAGCTGCTAACTGGTATTGCTAGGATTGATGCGTCTAAATTCTATGGTATGATCAACTCCAGAACTAGAGGGTGGTCAATAAAGATATCCTATGCCACGTCTAAAACGAATATAAAGCGGCATAGCTTCACTTGTCGTGCAGGGTCTGAATTCACGTCTCTTAAAACTACAGTAGCGATAATGTTTTCTGCCTTCCGACTTTTCAAGCGCCTAAGTAAGTTGGAATTG